GTTGGGGGGGGGGGGGTTACAGTATAGCGGGATGGGCAAAATATGGTCTGTAGGCCGGATTTGGCTAGCCGACAGGTTTGGTCCAGCCAGGTGGGCGGCCCCGAACTAACTGGATCTGGCTTCTGGGTGGCTGGTGGCTCCAGCCACTGTGTGGCCCCAGGTCGGTGGAAGAGCAGCATTGCTTCCAGCTAGCAGCATCAGGCATCAGCTCTGGACCGGGGTGGGGCTGCTGCTGCAGTGGGCAGGTGGCAGCATCAGTTGTGGATGCTGCCAGTAGGTTCAGGAGCCCAGATGGAGAACCTGTCAGCAGCATCTGTGGCAGGATCAGCCATGGAGGCTGCTGGCAGGTTGTGTGTCCAGGCTTCTGAAACTATTGGAAGTGTCTACACCTGCCACTGCCCTCTGTGGTGAACTACAGCTCTGGCAGGTTCTGGAAGGAAGGGGAGAGGAGGGAGAGTGATGGATGTGGCCCTCAACAACTCCCCAAAACTCATTAAGTGGCTCTTTAGCTGAAATAATTGCCCACCCTTGCAGTAAACCATAGGCAGAATATGAGCCAAATGTATGCACTTGTTGCAAAAAAGACCATTGGCATATTGGATTGTGTTCACTGCAGTCTCTCTTGCAAATCAAGTGATTCTCCCCCTCTCTTCAGTGCAGGTGAAACCATATTTGGAGTACTTGGTTCAGGGAAAGGCTGAGTAACCTGGATGTTTGCCACTCTGTTTGTAGCTGGTTAGCAGTGGCATTTGTTCCACAAGTGTGAATGTGCATAGGTGGTGGTCTTCAAGAGCCACTGTGGTTTTATAGATAAGCGACTGTTCTTTTTTGAGTAGAGAGGTTATAACAGGATTTGAGGCAAAGGATTCTTGACACTGAACTGACCTAATTCTCATCAGTAAAACTCTTCTAAGCATTGCCAGAGAGGAGGGAAGCCTTTAAGGCTGGGAGCTTCTTTCTCCTTTTCTTTGACCGTACTCGGCAATAATGTTCTGCTATGGCTCAGGTAGTATGCAAGAGAGAGAGCAGCCTGATTCGAATGCAGAAAGGCTGTAAGAGGCCAGATGAGCTTGTGGGTAAAGATTTGGGAATAGATATGGGCAAGGAGCTGCTTTAATTAAAGCACTGCCTCCCCATTCCCAGAGCACATGTAAAAGTGCCCTTCATGTCTGTCCATGCCTGTTGTGATTCATTTTTGTAGGGTTTGAAATTCTGCATCCCTTGATGCTACAAATGTAATGTCTGTCCATGATCATGAATTTTTCTGGAAAGAAACAATATTGAAAAATTGCGTATCAACCTTAGCATGAAATCAGTTTTATTTTGAACATTGTTATAGCTAACTGTAATCACTTTAGTTGCTGATTTTTGAAAGAAATGTAATTTCTTTTTTTCTCTCCCATTTTTTTAAGGTCAAAATGGGTTTGTTGGTAGACTTGACAAACACCACTAGATTCTATGATAGAAATGATATAGAGAAAGAAGGGATCAAATACATAAAACTTCAGTGTAAAGGGTAAGCTCATTGCAACTGTATTAATATTTGATTTTGAA